GTTTTTTCTTGTGCAACAAGCAAAAACAGAGCAACAAGCTTTGTTTGTTTGTCGGAACGGGGTAAAATGGTAAATTTCAATCAGCAGGCTTTACCCTGTTTGCAGCCAAGTGCTCCTGCATCCATGGTGAGTTTCCGGACCATTGTTCCCGGTTTAGGTCGAATCCTAAACTTGTTTGGGATTGGGTTTACCGGTTTAGGGCTCCGCGCATTCGGTTTTCCAGATTGCACAAAATAAGCTCCATTGATGAAGTAATCTCCTTCTGATTGCCAATTCCAAGATTTCCATTGAGTGAAAGGTGTGTACTCTCTCTTTGTGACTTGTTTTGCTTGTTCATTAGGAGGAGCAATGAAACGATTACCTTGACTAATGATTGTAGGGTTCATGTTTCCACCGATTGCATACATTTCCCAATGTGTGTAGTCATTGTTCACCACATGGATCATACCGAATCGACAACGAGGCATTCTCTGTTCCAATCTCTTACCGAAATGATTAAACGCAACCGTTATCTGCATGTGCTTGTCGATCACGTGTTCGTCTCTCGCCCCAAACAGCATCACTTCTTGATGGTCAGTGAAATGACTGTTGGAGATAGTTACCGCGGTCGAGCCTTGAATCGCATCGATCATACCATCTGCGCATCTTGTCATAGAAACATGGTCGATCCAAACATTGGTTGCTCCAAACAAACTTATTCCATCACCGTCACTTTTTGTCCTGAGCCCTAAATGTTGCTCTGAGTCTCTGATCAAACCCCCGTTTCCAGGAACAATGTGCTTGATATAGATATTGTGTATGATCACATTGTTCACATATTGCAGTGTTAAACCAGCTCCTTCCATGATGTAAATCCTAGCTCCTCGTCCATCGATTGTTTTGTCGCTCGTTATCATCAGTTCTTGTTGTAGTTTAATGATCATGCTTCTTGCGAATATGATCCAAAGCGGTCCGTCTCTGGTCACTGCGTACCTTAACGTTCCCGGTTTAGGGTTTACAAGATCGTTGTCTGAAGCATCGTTGACGACGTAGATCGGTCCGGCTTTTCCTCCGGTGGTTCTTCTTCCGAATCCGAGCACACAATCCGTTAGTTCCTTCCGGTTTTGCGCCCAATTACGGTGGCATCGCCAGCATTTGTCTATCGGGTTATAAGCTAGGCATTTTCCGCTGCTTTTATGAATTCTACGACTACTTCTTTTCTGTGTAAGCTCTCTCCTTGTCCCGTTGACTGATTCCGTTGCGTCCACTGCTCTGTTAATAAGAACCAAAATGTTTTATTAGGTTACTTGTTGGAGAAGTTAGTTTAACTTTTGACCTAACAAAGTATAAAACTTACAAGGAGACATGGTAATTCAAGTGGTCGGTGACGTTAAGCGGATTAGGGTCGTAAGAGTCCATGGTTTGTCTCAACGCATCGCTTTGACGCTGCGTCCAGTAGTTATCGAAGACAGCAACATGGGCTCGACTCTCTGGAGGGAATGTTGCTATGAACGAGAAGAAGATGACGAAAACATAACCGCAAATATTCAAAAACGCTGCTGCCATTTGCAATTCCGGCGATCAAAAGCCGGTGAGGTATAATATTCCGGTGAAACCACAATCGGAGGTTGTGGTTTCTCAGATCGGCCTGCCGGGATTAAAGATTGTAGATATGATTCACCGATTGCTTTAATAACAAGGAACTTGAGAGAGAGAGGGAAATGTAGGATTAAGAATTAACGGAGATTAGGTAACCACTGATTTAAATCTATTTGGTCATTTCTTCTTAAACCCAATTATAGATTTTGGATGCCTCTGTTTTATCCTTCTTTTGTGGGATATATATTTTCTGTTATTTTTGCCTTCACCTAAAATTATTTTTAGTGTAACTA